AATTTCCTAAATATATATCTCTTTTCCTGCAGTGATTATGTGTAATGTTAAATACCTCTGCAAATAATTACGGAAAATACAGCACTGCCATTTTATGGACTGATATGAATAATAACTGGATTTTATGTATTTTCAAGTTACACCAAATTTGCACATTTTGCCCGAAATGCCTTTAGCTACCTTTCTCCTAAATTCTTCGTCTGATTCCTTTGGCCATTAGGTTCTATGCATTCTGCTGTTATTGCTCTCATTTACCTTTCCACTTGTCATTATTAAATACTTTTATTATTTCCTTCGTGCAGCCTCATGTGGAATGATCACAAGAATACCTCTCTCTAAACGCTGTTTTTTTTTTTCTTTTTTTTTTTTAATGAAAGCAGCAGCTTTGCGTGGGTGATTCATTGCTCACATTAGAACAGCAGAGCATCAACCAAACCTCGGAAAGAAAAAAAAAAAAAAAAACAACTTTTTCATGACTCCAAACAACCTCGATGTCGCCGTGGCGTGAAATACAATCTCCTGCTCCGGGAGGCTTTTCCAGAGTACAGAGGCAGCCCCAGTCTCTGCGGACCCACAGCAATGCCTGACTGCAGTACACCTGGGAGGCGAGGGGTCACCCCCACCCACACGGGTCCCTGTCCCTCCTCCTGGCAGCTGCAGGGCGCCCGGGCAGGCACGGAGCTCCTCAGCCCCTCGCGGTGCTGCTGCCACCCCGGGCTCCTTCCCCACGTCCCGGCTGCTCTCTGGCGGGGCAGGGCAGGGCACAGCGGGGTCATTGCCCTGCCAGCAGCACCAGCGGTACCCTGGGGGGCACCGAGAAAGGGTGTGCAACAGGTGGAAGGAGGCGATTCCCCGTCTCTGCTCGGTCCCGGTGAGGCCTCTTCTGGAGCGCTGTGCCCAGTTCTGGGCTACTCAGTATAGGAGAGATCAGCAGCTCCTGGAGAGGTTTCAGTGGAAGGACACAATGATTTGGGGTGTGGAGCATCTCTTATGAGGAGAGACTGAGGGAGCTGGGCTTGTTTAGTCTGAAGAAAAGAAGACTGAGAGAGGATCTCTAATGCATACAAATATCTCAGAGACAGGTGCCAAGAGGATGGTGCCAGACTCTTTTCAGTGGCGCCCGGAGAGAGGACGAGGAGCAGTGGCCATAAACTGAAACACAGGAAGTTCTACCTCAACACGAGGAAGAACTTCTCTGCATTGAGGGTGGCAGAGCACTGGAACAGGCTGCCCAGGGAAGTTGTGGAGTCTCCCTCTCTGGAGACATTCCAAACCCTCCTGGATGCGTTCCCGTGTCACCTGCTCTAGGTCACGCTGCCTTGTCAAGGGGGTTGGACTGGATTGGTCCCTTCCAACCCTGACAATTCTGTGATCTCCCCCAGAGACAAGTAGGGAAGCCTTCTCTGGCAGCCAGGAACACGGCAACCGAGAGCGGGGAACCGGTTTTGGGGTTTTTTGTGTAAAAGTCGGGAACGCAGAG